AGTCACACTGGTGTTCACATTCCCTTTTTGGTACTCCTTTGTTGTGATATTCTTCTTTCAAGCTCTTAAGTCAGGTCAAAAGGGCAACTTTAATAGCTTAGTGAATATTTCCTGGGAGCCCACTGGATAGCTGTCAGTTTATAAAGTTTCTATCTACACTGGTGAATAAAACAAACCTGGCCCCCAGCCTCATGAGACAGCAAGCCTGATAGAGGTGACTGTGCTCTGAAGGAAACAAACCCAGTTGTGCATCGTTTCTCGGGAGAAATTTATCAGGAGGTAATTTCATCAACAAACATCACTGAGTGTACTGAGACAATCCTGGGTGGTATAGTCTCCTACACACCTAGGCTCCATGGTATAGCCCATGGCTTCTGGGCTATAAACCTGTCTAGCATGTTCCTGTACTGATACTGAAGGCAGTCGTAACTCAGTGGTAAGTCTCTGTGTATCTAAACATACAGAAGTTACGGTATTATGATCATATGAGACCACCGTGGAATATGCGGTCTGTTGTTGATCGACATGTCATTGGGTGGTGTCTAACTACACAACAGTAGAGAACAATGACAGGGAAGCTACTCACAGGAGTGGTAGAAGATGTAATAATGTACACTTTTATTATGTAACAGACATTTGTTGAGGCACTACAAGACACTGAAAAAAGCACACACAGATGACAAAGAGCTGGTGCCTTTATTGAAGGTCACAGTCAAGGACAGGAAAGTTTTTTTTTTTAACTCTCTTCTTTTAACATTGTCTTCCCTAGTGTGTCTGACTATGTGGCTGCTAAAATTATGTAGATAACGTCAACCTCTTTTGAGCTCTAGACCCTAATTTAAAATTGCCTGGCATGGCAGAAATACAGGAAGATACTCCTTTCTGTATTTTGCTCTAACATATGACGGAACGAAGGCAGTTTGTGCCTTTATGGTTTGTATTTCATACAGCATCTGAAGAATTAAGGTTAACCATATATTTTATAACAGCTAGTTATTTTGTTTAACTTGCTGAACGAAAAATTGGTGGACTACACACTAAACAATGGAACTCACAAGGTCCAAATCGTAGGCTTGATCTCAAATGCAAACTTGATAAAGAAAAGATATTCTAAGTGACAAGAAAGCCGACTCTTTGTTGTTTACTGCTGCAGTCTTTTCCAAACTGTTCATTCCATGGGATATTAATAGGTTTTTAATGCATTCAAAAGGCCAGATATACTTGGGAAACAGTACATATTAACTGATTTATAATCTATACAATGTATTGAAGGTTCTGAGATGTACAAGGTAAGGCAGAAGCATGTTTTAACATTTCTAATGTGACATTGATCAAATATATATGATCATGGAAGCCTTTGTTGTTTGTTTGTTTGTTTAGGTTTTGGGGGAGGGGAGAGTAAGTGACGAGGAACACGTGGTAGCAGACTAGACAAAGTCTGGCTCCCCTTCCTTCCTCACTTCTTTCCAGTCAAGTTCTAAAGTGAAGACCACCATTCGTGAGTGTGCAGTGCCCATGCTAAGCACGCTACTGTATGCTTGACACATTATTTTATCTGGGCTAACCATGGAATTGTGAGGTGAATGTGACAGGCCCTATTTCAAAGATGAGTGAACCGATAGTTGGACAAGTAACCCACTTTAACTACAAACCTTTTATACAATAGGATTCATACCTAGATATGGTCAAACCAGTTATCTTCTTTTTTTTTCCCCATGATGCCACCCTTTCATCAGCTATAGATGGAGAAGAGAGTTATGACATCTTTTACGATGTATTTTTGAAAGACCAAACTGACATTCACAGTAGGAGGTGGAGAACAGAGCTGGAAGATGGTAGCAATTTAGCACATTAGCTAAGCGTCTCTTTTAAATCTTTACTGTAATTCTCCTCGTATGCAAAGTTCTCCTTCCACATACACAGCTGGATTCGCTCCCGAAGGATCATCAGTCTGGAGGTTTTGAGAAATAAAGGCTATTTGAAAGGACAGCCATGTGGTCTAGTGGAATGCCCATAGACTTTGAAGTTAGATGGTCTTTCCTGTTTCCTCATGTCCCTCCGGACCAGATTACACATGTTTTGTTCATAACACATACCACCACTTAGTATTATTTTACTCTCTATATCTATGGTCCCTTTTAACTTCCACCCTTTATCCCCAGGATATGAACTCCATAATACTATAAGAAAGGGATTGGCAGTAGTGGGAAACTGCCAGGGGAGGTGGGGCCGGGGGTGGGACTGGCAGTTGAATGAAGCTGCTAGGGGAGGGAGGGGCACACCTCATCAACAAGGATGGCTGCATAATCAACATTTGTATACCTAGATCTGAATTGTACCCCACATCTTTAAAATAAAAAAAAAAAAAGAATATAAGCTCCATGAAAGCAGATACTTGGTCTGTTATTCACTACTGTAGTCTCAGAACCTTGAACAATACCTGGTACATGACACCAATAAATGTGTTGAGAGTGAATGAAAGAATAAACGAAGAAAGCCCTTGATTAATCTCTCTGCTCTGGCATCTGTTAGCTTTATGAACTTGACCAGTTACTTAGCATCTGTGAACCTAATCTTCATCTTTAAAATGGAACTGCTAATATTTGTTTCAAAGAGTTGATCAAGTAGATAAGATGTAGGCATAACCTGGTTTGATATTAAGCTTTGCTTTTGATCACACATCCCTCTTTTTCCCCCCGTGACTCACATAAAAACTGAATCACAAGCAGAAATGTAAATATTTTTTATATTAATTCAGACTGCACCGCACACAATCAACACAGTCGGAGATTGTCTTGGAATTTTAATTTGAGTGTGATACTTCCTAAAATCTGCGTGTAAAGCAGTTTGCTAGGCTGTTGAAAGAGACTTCGCTGTGTCACAGAGTAATCAAGTTCTGGGGAAATTGGACCAGAAGAGATGTGAAAAAGAGAAATGAGGTTAAAGTAGATTGGAAGGGGAAACCATTTTGGAGTTATTATTGGGGGGTGGAAGGTTGTGTTTTATTTTCCATGAATCATAGAATTGTTGGAGTGGAGTAAACCTTTAAAAAAAAGTTCAAACTTTGTGCCCTTTCTCACAATCTCTTGCCCAAATCTCTTCTCCAGAGTCCCACCAAATAAAAATGTAGCCCATTCCCAAAACTCCAGGAAGACTACATCGGCGGCGGATAAAGCTTGGTCTTTATGAGTCCACGTCCTGTGAGCTCTCGTACTCCAGCATCGGGCGTGGCATCTTCTCTGCTCTTCACTTCCCCAGTCAACCAGAGGAGTTCAAGATACTTACCTTTTAGGACTGTTGTGAGGCTAAGACGAAATTCCTGACACATAGGAGATACCCCCCAGCCATGTTACTTGTGACTTATTCCTTCCCCCAGAAAACCCATTTGATCTCGGGACACAGTCTTGAATCCCTTTTGTTTGTTGACCCTGGCAATTGTTTCCCTGTCTCCTTCAAGTTCTAGCTCAGCTCCTTGGGGCTTTATAGAACAAGTGAAAATCCTTTTTCATTAGGACAGTACCCTGAGCTCAGGAATCACACAGAGCAAATGCTTGCAGAGACCAGGTCGGAGATGTGATTGGGGAATGGCGAGACAGAAGACAGACCACCGGTCTGCGACCAGTCTGTGGAGGGAGCTGGACAAACTGGAATGCCCGTGCCCCCTCAAAAAGCAACAGGCTTAACTGGGCCTCAACAGATTGTGGCCACCAAAGTAATTCAGGGCTGGGCTTGGAATTCTGGCCAGCATTGTTTAAGCCAAGCCAAACATGTCTGTGAGCCAGTTCAGGTACTGGAGCCAGCAGTCTCTGCCTAGATCATTGCAAACAGTCATCAGACCTCCCCTAGCTAGACAGCCACTCCATCCTGATAAGCAGCTGTGCATGCTTAGCACAGGGGAGCTGAACCCAGCCCAGGCTCAGATCACCAGGCCTTTCTCTCATTCACCCCCAAGGTGTCTGTGAACCAGCAGCAGCCCAAATGGGTATCTTAGGCTGATTCTACTCATCTCACCATTGGTCTTTGTTTTTTTCCTAACATACCACAGGGCATCAACGCAGAGATTCTAGAAATTATCCAGAAATACAAATGTGGTCTGACCAGCACAGGGTACAGATTTTCTCCTTCCTTAATTTAGAAGGGGATTTTTATTTTTATTTTAGAGTTGGAGTCTCATTCTGTTGCCCAGACTGAGTACAGTGGCATGCTCCCGGCCACCTCAGACTCGACCTGCTGGGCTCCGGTGATCCTTCTGCCTCAGCCTTCCAAGTAGCTGACACTACAGACATGCACTACCGCACCTGGCTAATTTTTTTGACTTATTGTAGAGATGAGGTCTTGCCAAGTTGCCCGGGCGGGTCTCGAACGCTGGGGGTCAGGTAATTCACTCACCTCGGCCTCCCAAAACGTGAGATTACAGGCTGAGCCACCGAGCCCGGCCAGAAGAGGGATTTTTAATCTTGAGCCTTTAAGTCTCATAATGGCCCATGGATTGATTTCAAGGAATCTGTGAATCCACTGACATTGTATAAAAGGATTTATATATATATATAAATATATACATATCTTTTATGATGAGATTCTTAGAAGAATAAAACCCTAACAAAGACTCAACAACCACTGTAGACTGTTTCAGTTAATATGGTCTGTAGCATTAGCTTGTGAAAGGCAGTCTGAAAGAATACTGATCAATTCTGAGCTTAGTCTCAACTGTAAGCTCTTGGTCTTTTCTCTGATGTTTTTTCATACAAAGCTCCATAATCCCCTGCTGGATGCTGGTGCAACTACCCTCACCCCACCACCCTAATGAATGCTGACATAACTGACTATTTAATCCAAGTCTGAGACCCGACATTTTTGTTGATTCTATGTTGTTTTATTAGAGTGAGGTGAAGGTTTATAATGCAATGATTCTAAGACTTAAGAAAAATAATATTCTGCTGGGGGACTGAGTTTGTATGTACTTAGATCAACTTATTTTTTTCCTTTTTCCTTCTCCGTAGGTCGAAAGTTTAAAAAGTTCAACAAAGTCAGAGTTATGCGTGCACTGGACGCTGTCGCCCTCCCACAGCCGGTGGGCATTCCAAGTGAAAGCCAAGCCCTAAGCCAGAGGTTCACTTTTTCACCAAATCCAGACATGCATCTGATCCCACCACTGATCAACCTGTTGATGAGCATTGAACCAGATGTGATCTATGCAGGACATGACAACACAAAACCCGATACCTCCAGTTCTTTGCTGACAAGTCTTAATCAACTAGGCGAGAAGCAACTTCTTTCGGTAGTCAAGTGGTCTAAGTCATTGCCAGGTAACAATAGTTTATATATAACAGTATGTGATAAAAATGTTCTATGTTTGTCACATGAGTCGTTAGTTAAATGAAACAGTTCTTGCTGTGGATGAACTTTAAGGTAAAAACAGCACGTTAATAGTGTGTGTTTCAACAGTCAGAATATTTGTCTAGGACCCCTAGTAGGTGTTATGGAAATACGAAGGAGGTAGACAATGCATTGAGTTCAAAATTACATACATGAAACAGTTAGGAAACGGCATATCTAGGTGTTCCACCACAGATATGATAGTTCAGAGAATGATAAGTCGATCATTTTTTCAATGTCCCATTTATTCTAGACCTTAACTTATCCAACCTCAATTGGTTGAAAACCAAACTGAATGTATCAACTCATATAACAAATCAAAATAGTATTCTGAGTACGGTAGGTGCCAAGAGTCGGTGAAGAAAACAAATTCTAAACATCCATCCATCCATCCATCCATCCAGCCATCCATGCATAATAGCACAGAGAAAAATGAACTTCCAGTCACTACTTCTCTGATTTATACCCGGGCAAGGGCATGTAGCCTAGCAACAGAGAGAATTTGGATTATATCATCATGGAAGAATTTGGTCACTCTGCTTATCAGCTGTTTTGCTCCCTGAGTACAGCTCTGCAGGAACCAAGTGTTTGAAAGAATTACAAGGATGAAATTCTCACTTGGTTAAGCCTTTGGCTGCAGAACCAGAATGCATGTGTAGTAGTTGGTTGTGGAGGCCTTCATCCCATAATTAGAAATAGAATGTTTTTTTAAAATTACATTCCCTTCACACCGGTAATATCCTTATACTGCTTTAGACCAATTTATTTTTCCAGTATCTGATCAAGAACTAAACACATTATGTACTTTGAGTCCCCAAGCATATTCAATAGCATTTCTTTCAAAAAGAAAGAATTTCTTCTCAATGTTCCTTAATATATTTCTCAGTTATTATTCTACCTGAAAGGTTTGAAATACAATAGATGAATCATTATTGAAAATTCAATTACATGAAACAGAAAGAAAAAATAGATTCCCGTTTGTTGAATCTTTTAAAAAAATACATACTGAACAAGGTTAATACAATTTGGTATTCTAGTAGAGATGAGGTAATTTTATAGAAAAATCAAAATGCCCAGTTTCTTACTAGCTTCGTTCTTCCTGAAAGACCTTGGACAGGTAATAGTGTTTTTCCAAAACTTCTGAATGTTGAACACTTACTGTAAAGTGGTTATTAAATTTGACAGATCTTTATTAAATAAATTATCACAATGTATCGATGAACTCTTTCTGTTTAAAATATGATTGTTTACACGTGTTTAATTTTTCTCGGTTTTTCCGTTATTTGGAAAAAGCAGTTTATTTTATTTTTGTGATATTTCTCTTTTCAAATTACTTTTGTTTGCATTTCGGAGGTTCCTTAATGTTTAAAAAGGCTGTAGCATCTGCTGGTGGCATTAGAAAATAACCTGTTATCATTATAAAGATAATTTATTCACTTTGGAAAAAAGCTAAGTGAGCTTTTAAAGCTGAAAGCTAGCTATCAGTATGTTTTGACCCCACACCCAACCTCAAAAAAGGAGAGAAAATTTTTATATTGAATTTGGTGACTTTTTTAATGTTGTAAAATGTGATTTATGCATTGTAAATCAGAACGATGGCAGCACCAATATTATACACATTGTTTCCATGAACTGTAAACAGGTAAGCATTGAGATCATCAAAGCATTATGTGGCCTCTGGTCTTTTTAAACTATATTTGCATGGCATGCATTTTGGGAGCAGCACTACTGAATGAGTGATTACAGTGATCCATGAACTAGAGTGACTCTATTGACCCCTGAGAAAGAACTTGAAGAGACACATGTATATAAAGTAGTGTAGTATCATTGTCTACTTAAAATTGATTTCAGTTGACTTTAAACACGGCTATAGTTTTTATTCACTTACTCAATAGGTGTCTGTTACATACCTGCTAGGTGCAGGACATAGCAATTAAACAGTGGTTTAGAAGAAAAGCCATAGGCTATGTGAATGCATTTTGGTACAGCACATCCTAGCATCTGGTCATCAGGTCATCAGTGTTGCATGTAGAAGAGATTTATTTTATTCATTCACTCATGTGTAATAAGACTAATAAGTCTACGGAAAGTGGACTTTTGTTAAATGAGCCTTACTAATAAGCCAGAATGTCAGTTTACTCACTTACAGTGCAAAAATATATCTACGTTGTTAGGAAAACATGTTGACCAATCTGGTCATTCTTTCACAATGGGAAGCCGTATTTGGAAAGTCAGATTAAGATCAGATGTGGACTGGTCATCATAAAAAGGTGGCAGCATCTTTGTGGGTGTCTAGGCACTTATCAGCAGGTTCCCTGAGGATTCCTGTTGCCTGGTCAGGACTTTCTCATTTCTTCTTTGTCTGTACTTTCCTGCTATCTTGGACCTGTTACAATGATTACAACTCATCTTTAGATTTCTCCAGTAATCGTTCAGATATATCCTTTTTCTTTGCAAGAGACTTGCAAGACACTCTAGCCTCATGACTGCACACTTATAAACCAACTTGTTGGTTCTATTGCAGCTGACATTTAACATCTATATAAGAACGGCTTTACATTGACTTTTATCTGTAGCTTTAGTGGATAGTATTTTCTTATTGCAAGTGTAGAAATTATCTTACCACCAGTTTCACACAACGCCCACACGATCCTCTCTTCTGACCTGAGAATCATCTTTCTAAGACAATTAGAATCAATCCTATTTCCCCTTTCCTTTTCAGAGCAAAGTCTAAACTCCTTGGCCTCTGCCTTCAAGGCCCCTCTGTGATCTGGCTCCTGAATTTCAACCCCATCTCTCATCATTCCTCTTCACACAGTTCTAAGGAACAGTTCCCCAAATGCTCTTTGCTCAATTCTCTACCTCCTTTTGCTCATACTGATTTTCGCACCTGGAGGTCCTTCTCTGCTCCCACATCTTCCCCTGGCTGGCCCCTAACCAGCCTTCGGGATTCACATCCCTTGTCACTTCTTCTGGGAAGATTTCTCAGAGCCTCTGTGGACTGGGCTGAGAAACCCTTGCCTGTCTCACGTCTCCCCAGCCTGTGGTGATCATAAGTTGTGTTCTACTCTTCTGTGTATCTCACCAGACTATAAGTGTTAAAGGCAGAAGCAGCATCTTTCTAATCTCGATGCCTAATGACCAGCATAGCACTTAGGTGTTTAGAGAAAGTTTATAGAAAATTAATTACAGGCTTCATATAACAGGAACTATTCAGCCTTAGACTGAGTCCTTATTCTTAATAAGTCATCGAACTTACGTATTGATTACTTACCCTCATTGGATTGAAGCTTCTTTGCACTCTTTGACATCATACTTGTGTATGAACGTTCATACTTAGTGTCAGAAAGTGCTCAGATACATAATCCTTGGCTATTGTAGATTAGTTATTTCGATTTTTTTTTTTTTAACAGAACCACAACTTGTATATTTTGTCAGAACTTGGAAGCAAGATTGTAGGACCCAGTAGGGCATACTGGCTATTTCTTTATGATCTACTTTCTTTTCATTTTTTCTAAGCATTAAGATTTGAACAGCTTGTAAGAGGGCTTTTGTCAGGAATTATCAGGTCAAGTCATTTAAAAGAAAAGGTTGTTTTTTTTAAGCACTTTTCAAACACAATTAGTGCTCATCCATCACTTCTCTATGTGAAGGCTTCTCATTTTATCGTCATCTCGAATGTACTAAGTTTACCTGATCATTATCATCACTGGGAATTTGATCTCAGTGTTCCCGTCTTTGTTTCAGTATAAAGTAATGAATGATATTACAGGTAATGAGGAAAAAAATTGCACTTCTATACCAGGAATGTTCAAGTCGATTTAACATTGTACATTTATCACAGATAAGCCCTCTGAAAGGTGGAGTGAATAGAGGTTATTTTCTGAGTTCTGTTCCAGTCTGTGAAATGGAAATATACTTTCTGCTACAAATATTGGTAATTTGATACATTTTAAGCTATTGCAATAAAAATTTTCTTTTGTATTATAATACAAATGATCTTGTACTGCTAATCATTAACAATACCAGAATGTTTTTTGGGTTTTTTTTTTTGCATTCTGCAAAAAAACAAAACAAAAAGACAAAAACAAAATATAAGAGTAGGGTCAAGTGAATATAAACATCCCAATGTAAACAATCTGTTTTTGAAAAAAATAACAAATGAATGAACTGTTATACAATTGGTCAGATTTTCAAAACTACTCAGAGATTAACAAAACAAAGACCTCAAATAAAAAAATAACCTAGATAAGTCAAATACTTAAGTATTATAAAATACTTTCTTTAGAAAGTTATAAATTCACCAGGAAAAATGTAGAGAATAATAAATCTATGCCTGGAGATTCTAGTGAACAACCTGCTAATGTTTTAATATATCTGATTAATCAAATCTGGTTTTTCTATGAGCCTGTCGTTTTTCCTATTATATGAACTATATAATTTGTTATATAGACTAACACATATGAAATGTATATTCTGGAAAATAAATATTCTAGAGAGAACACTTAACACTTTGGAATTTTATTGCCGTTAGTAGCATTTGCATTTCAGTTGTGTCATTTAGATTCTATGATATATGAAGTGCTCCTGATATCCATTTTCATCTCATTTTGTTTAATATTAGAGCGTTTCCATGGACTAATCAGTGGCTTTTAGGGAGCCATGACACCAGTGTGCAAGATCCATTGATAGACGAGTAGAAAACACATACCTAGTACTCTGCATGTGCACAGCTGTCCCATCTGAGTCTCATGGTCATTCATTGAAGCAGTTACTGTTGCTATTGTGGTTTTACTTCTGCGGAAATTTAGATTCAGTGACATTAAACGACTTTCCCAAAGTGGTATTTAGTAAGTGGTAGCACCAGAACTTGGGTCTTCTCTCTTGAATTCCTTATAATTTGTTGAGACAAATCAGCAATGGGGAGATATATATGTGTCTTCCTTTAGGAAACCTAGCTTTTCAAAAATTAGGGAAAGTTACTGATCTCTTATCAAATGACTGTAAATTGTATCCAAGAATTAATCACTGATTTTTTGTAAAGTCTCTTAAGTATTCAATTTCTAAGCAGCGTTTATGTGCTAGATTTATCGTGTTAAGAGTCCTAATTTTGTTGTAGACATGTAATTGAAGATGCATTTAAGTAAAACGAAAATTTTTAAAAGAATTATGAAAATTCCATGCCAAAATTTTTTGGCTGGTTATTTAGAAAGTCTTTCTGCTTCTGAGTAAATCAGGACTCTTGGGTGCCAGCAATAAAAACCAACTATGCTAATTAAAAAAAAACAACCACAACAAAACCTCTAGCAAAACAAAGAAGAAGAAGAAAATGAAAATAATTTACTGGAAATATACCAAGGATTCACTGAATGGCCATAAATAAGCATCGCAAGTCCACCCCCTGGATCCTGTTCTCACTGGCATCACCACCATCAAGAATAAATAATCACATCTTTGTCTTTGCTTTGCCATCTTCTGATTCCAGTTCCTGGTGGTATGCGTTCCATAGGCCAAATCCAGACCACAAGCCCAGGAAGGAGAAGCTTTAGCCACGTTCCTTGGTAGGAACTTGCTCTCACCAAGCTACGACCATGGAGAACTCTGTTCACACAGAGAAAGAAAACGAGGGAAGGAGGAAGGGAGGGAAAGGATGCCGAGAGAGAGGGATCACTGGGGAGGTTGATTCGAAACAGAAGAGCGCTCTCCTCAAATAAAGGTGAATGCGGGTCATGGCATCCCTAATTACGCTCATGCACACACGTTGTCTTGGGTCACAGTGAAGTTGAAGAGTTCTTAGAAGAGAATAGCTGTCTTTCCCCTGTTTTCAAGAAGATGGGACAGTCTGGAGTATGCAGAGCAACTCAGCCTTCTTCTTTTGTGCTACCTACCTTGAGATGATTCTCATGGCCAGGAAATACATTTCTTTGGCCCTCACTCGCCGACTCATTAAGTTTTGCTTTGTTTTTGCTTTTGAAGTAGATTCTTTGTCAATGGACTTCAGTGGGTTTTTAAAGAAAATGCATGTTTTGAAAATCGCTTTCCAGCAAAACCCTCTTCTTTGTACCTTTCATACAAGATTTCATCTGCTTTCATTGTTTACACTCAAATACAAATAACTTCCAAGTTTATACTCTTAGTATAGATGTCGCCCCATACTTTTTTTCCCTCTTTATTCCATTTTAAAGATGTGGGGCACAATTTTATAGGTCCAGCTACTGTTAGGAAATTCCCAAGGCCCCTCAGTCCCGCCCAAAATACATGGTTTCTACTACTTCTTCTATCTCAGCAGTGCTGCCATCACATTGGCCATTCAGGAGAAACACTGAAAGGGGTATTTGACTTCATCTTCTCGCCATCTACTTACGATCAGGTGTCAGTCACTTTGATTTTACCCTTAAATTATTTCTGACCCACCCCCTCCTCTTGCGCTCATGTTGCCTTATTTCAGGTGTATGTCATCTCTCACCTGATCTTTGGCAGGAGGCCCCAGCTGGTCTCCCTGGCGCCAGACTTAGTCCCTTGAATCCTGCCTTCACCTAGGCACAAAGGATCCATCTACATCACAAGGCTATGTCACTCCCGTTGTTCCTTGGCGGACATGTGGGACCTTCCATGACCTTACCCCAGCCAATCTCTCCATACATATGTTTGCCTCTCTCTCCATCAAGTTCTGGGATCTTCCCCCAAGAATTGGGAAAAGATGGGAAGAAGACCCGTGACAATAAAGTCAAGAATCATTTGCCCTTTTCCGACCACCAACACCAGAGCACGGCCTAAAAGAAGATAAAAGACCAAAGCATTCACATGCGCACACGCTTGTGCACACACAGACTCGACCTCTTAAACCACATGGAAGTTTAAAACAAGACTGAACAAAGAATGAAAGAGACCTGAAAACCATAGACTCTACCCAGGACATCACTAAGAGCTGTTAAAGGAACGTTAAATCAAGCAATGGTTTTACAAGATAAAACCCACTTAGGTTTAAGTCCCAAAGAACGGAGATTCCACAAACTTAATTACTGTATTCTGCTCAGGCGTTATCTTTCTGTTTTGGGAAGCTTTTCCTGCCCTGTCTTTCCTGTTGAGGTGTGAGCTGCCTTGAAGGCTAGGAGTACGTCTTACTCACCCCCAGAACCCCAGCATTTCCCCACAGGGGGACACCAGTGCTTCTCACAGAGTGGGTGTTACATGAATGATGATGGATGATGGATTCGATGAGCAAATTCCCAGCAAGGCCAGATCACAGCGACTAGTTTTAAATGACTGTCAAAGTCGCCGCCTCTTTTCCAGGCTGTATTATTTATTACTGTTTCCTGATATTTCGTGTAAAATATGTTGAGATTGAAAGCATTAAGCCAGGCTCGGTGGCTCAGCCTGTGATCCCGTGCTTTGGGAGGTTGAGGTGAGTGGATTGCCTGAGGCCGCGGGTTCGAGACCCGCCTGGGCAACTTGGCAAGAACTCATCTCTACAGTAAATCAAAAATCAGCCGGGCATGGTAGGGCGCGCCTGTAGTTCCAGCTACTTGGAAGGCTGAGGCGGAAGGATGGCCGGAGCCGAGCAGGTCGAGGCTGCGATGGCCAGGAGCGGCCACTGCACTCCAGTCTGGGCGACAGAGTGAGACCCCAACTCAAAAAAAAGAAAACATTATATTATGCTACTTGTATCCACTTTCAAAATTCTACGTATTACCAACATTTTTGACATAAGTGATGTTTATGATCATTTTATTTTTAAATTTGTTTTGTAGGTTTTCGAAACTTACATATTGACGACCAGATAACTCTCATCCAGTATTCTTGGATGAGCTTAATGGTGTTTGGTCTAGGATGGAGATCCTACAAGCATGTCAGTGGGCAGATGCTGTATTTTGCACCTGATCTCATACTAAATGAGTGAGTAGTAACTGTTGTTATTTTCGGTATTGTCGTAAGTGCACATGTAGGATAATTTTGAAAATTACATTTCAGTAGATGACCACACATTTGGTGTCCTGAATGACAGAATTCTCGAGCCGGGCGCGGTGGCTCAAGCCTATAATCCCAGCACTTTGGGAGGCTGAGGCAAAAGGACTGCCTGAGCTCAGGGGTTTGAGACCAGCCTGGGCAACTTGGTGAGACCTTGTCTCTACAATAAATCAAAAAATTAGCTGGGTGTGGTGGCGCATGCTTATAGTTCCGGCTATTGGAAGGCTGAGGCGGAAGGATCACCTGAACCCAGCAGGTGGAGGCTGCGGTGGCCGTGAGTGTGCCACTGCATTCCAGTCTGGGCAACAGAGTGAGACTCCAACTCAGAAAAATAAAATAAAAAGTATATTTTTTACATGACAGGATTCTCCTGAAAGGTTTCTAAGAATTACCTCAAGGCACAGGTTGATTTGACAATATTAATAGAATTGTGTCATCTTATTAGTGATTTAATATTTGGAACCTTTTTCTCTTGTTTCATTGTATAATGTCATTGTCTCAAATCCAATTTTTTTAAACTTCAAAAATATACCAAGAAATATATTTAAAGACAAAACTAAATGCTTAGTTTATCAGATTAAAATATCATACCTTCTTGGTACTAATGACAATAATGAAATAAGAAATGTTTTTGCTTTAGAGTACTGATTTACCTTCAAAAAGCAAAAACATTATGTCTTTTCCTATAGGAAAAAACTACACTGGTAATTTATTCTAAAAATTGAAAGATAAATATCTCAATATGCTTTATTATATATTTAAATAACTGTAATTAATTTCCTACATACAAACTTTAAGAATCATTCTACAGTAATATTTATATCGCTCGAATGAATGCAGACTTAGAAGTATAAAACATAATGCTTAAACTTGTATAAATATTTACAGTTCACAGATAATTTTCATATAGCTCATTCCATTTTATTTAACAATTCCTTGAAATAGGTAAAGAATTAGCATTTTGCATTTTACAGTTCAGGAAACTGAGTCTCAAAAGAATTGTATAACCTGCCAAATAATTTGAATGATGGTCAGGATGAACCATATCTCTTTTAAGTCAAAATCTAATTTTCTTTTTACTGTCTCTGATACCTTCATTTAACTAATTTGGACATTAAAAAATAGCACATGGTTGAGGAAGCATCTTAAATAAATTTCCTCAGCCTTCTGTGTTCAACCTTGTCAGTTACTTACTGCTTGCTAATGTTCTCTTTTATTCTTCTCTTTCTTACTATACCTTCCCCCTAAAAAAGTTCACAGTGTGGTAAGTTTCTGTGAACTGACTCTGAATCAATTCTCCCATTGACTTGTATACAAAATTACATATTTTTTTCATAGGAAACTTGTCTAGGTAAATAGACGCTCCCCGGCATTTCTCAGCTTCTATAACTTTGCTCTCCTTTCTTGGTCTAGATATTCAAAGCGTGGTAATAAAAATGAAAAAGAAAATATTAATTTTGGTCAAAGTATATTTAATATAATTTTCTTTTTTTAGATTAGAAAATATAGTTAGTTTATCTGGAAAGTAAATTGGAGAGACAGAGAAAAAGAAGAGATTCACCTCCTCAAGGTAGGAGGTAGGGGCCCAAGCTTAAGAAATCATGGCCTAATTTTTTAATTTTAAGATGTCTTAACCTCAGAAACTCAGGACTGTGAAAAAGCTCGGACAATGTTTTAGATTTTGAATATTGAGTTTGTTTAGGAAAAGTTATAGTCCTCCTCCATAACATGTTAGGTAACTCCCAAAATCATATGCCCTGATAAATTCCATAAACTGGCTGAGACACTATGGTTTTTTTTTTTCTTGTTGCTTTTTCTCTGTGTGTTGTGTGTGGTGCAAGACAGCGGATGAAAGAGTCATCCTTCTATTCATTATGCCTTACCATGTGGCAGATCCCACAGGAGTTTGTCAAGCTGCAAGTTAGCCAAGAAGAATTCCTCTGTATGAAAGTACTGCTACTTCTGAACACAAGTGAGTTCAACTGACTTAATACAAGATATTTGGTACCTTAATGCATCAGGGAAGTCTCAAATAATATTATATAACTATCTAGGAGGTAGCCCAGGTGTAGTGGCTCACGCCTGTAATTCCAGCACTTTGGGAGGCTGAGATGGGAGGATTACTTGAGGCCAAGAGTTCAAGACCAGTCTGGACAACCTAGTGAGGCACTCTCTACAAAAAAAAGTTGTTTTTAAGTTAGCTGGACATGATGGCCTGCGCCTGCAGTCCTAGCTACTCAGGAGGCTGAAGTGGGAGGTTCGCTTGAGCCCAGGAGTTGGAGGTTGCAGTGAGCTAGGATCATGCCATTGCACTACATCCTGGGTAACAGAGCAAGACCCTATCTCAAAAAAATATATATATATATGAGATAGATAAATATAAAGAAGAAACACCCAATGTATTGTCATAGTCATTAATAAAATTACTTGATTTTTTCATATTTTACCAACCACACAATACTAAAACAGCCTAGTTAATTCCTTTTTATTTTAGCTAGAATATGTTTAAATGACTTTTTATAGTCACCTAATTTAGTACTATAAGTGGAATTTTGTGGCAGCTGTATAAACTATAGTCCTGTGCCACAAAATAATGTTTCCGTCAACAACAGACAGAATATGTGATGGCGGTTCCAAGAGATTATAATGGAGCTGAAAAACTCCTATCGCCAGTGACCTTATAGCCACCATAACATCGTAGTGCAAGACATTACTCAAATATTTGCAGTGATGCTGGGGTAACCAAACCTACTGTGTTGCCAGTCACCTAAAAGTCTAGCACATGCGGTTATATACAATCCATTATACTTGAGAATGATCATAAACGTCTAAGTCACTGGTTTGTGTGTGTATTCTATACGTTTTAGTGTTATTTTAGAGTGTGCTATTTGTACTTATTAAAAAAAATTTAACTGTAAGACAGCCTCAGGCGGGTCCTTCAGGTGGTAACCCAGAAGGCGTTGTTATCCTGGGAGATGACAGCTCTGTGCGTGCTATTGCCCCCGAAGACCTTCCAGTGGGACAAGATGTGGAGGTGGAAGACAGGGAGATGGATGCTCTTGACCCTGTGTAGGCCAAGACTCATGTGTGAATTTGTGTCTTAATGAGGATGTGGAATAACAGACATGGGATTGAAAGGGTAGGAAGGTAGGAAGTGAGTGAGGGATGGAAATGATTTACTGGCCACAATGTACATTGTTTGAGTGACAGTTACACCAACAACTCAGACTTCACCACTGTATATTCAAGTGTAGACAGATAAGACATTCTAGATATACATATGAGAGGTGTGTGTGTGTGTGTATATGTGTGTGTGTATATTTACGCACACGCGCATGCACACACACACACGCCTCTCATATGTGTATCTAGAACATCCTACACAATTAAGGCTTCAATTGACCAAAAATTGCATATGACCAATATTACCTTTGAGAGACCCCTTTATATTCAGGATCTGAGCTCTTGAAAACTCAAAACCAAACAATTCATGTTGTTTTGTTTTTTACAAGTTCGTATCCATGGCCTTCTTTTTCCAAGGGAAGCCAGGGTCTGACTGGAGTGCAGGGGATAAATGTGGGGTTTTAAGTTCTTTTTTTCCTCTCTGTTACCTGAAATGGAACAATATTGAAACCAGGCCAGTGAATAGTTCTGCAACACCCTCTGAGTGCTCATGTGGAAGGAAGAGTTGCACGTCTAAGCTAGACATGATTAAGCTTAACGAGGAAAGCATGCTGAAGGCTGACATGGACTGAAAGCTCGACCTCTTGAGCCAGTCAGCAAGTTGTGAATGCAAAGGAAAGGTTCTTGAAGGAAATTAAAAGCGCTCCTTCAGTAAGCACACGAATGATAAGAAAGTGAAGCAGCCTTATTGCTGATATGGACAAAGGTCTAGTGGTCTGGGGAAAAGATCACACCAGCCCATAGCATTCCCTAGAGCCAAAGCCTAATTCAGAGCAACACCCTGAATCTCTTCCATTCTGAGAAGGCTGAGAGAGGTAAGGTAGCTGCAGAAGAATGCCTGCCTGAAGCTGGCAGAGATTGGTTCATGAGGTTTAAGAAAAGAAGCCATTTCCAAAAGATAAAAATATAAAATGAAGCAGCAAGGGCTTATGTACAAGTTGCAGCAAGTTATCCAGAAGGCCTTGTTAAGACCATGGATGAAAGTAACAACACTATACAACAGATTTTCAATGTAGATGCCACAGCCATCTGTCAGAAGAAGATGGCATCTAGGATTTCACAGCTAGAGAGAAGTCAACGCCTGGCTTCAAATCTTCAGAGGGCAGGCTGACTCTCTTATTAGGGGCTAATGGTGCTGGTGACTTGAAGTTGAAGCCAGTGTTCATTTATTACTCTGGAAAACCCTAGGACCCTTAAGAATGATGCTATATCTCCTCTGTGCTCTAGAAACAGAACAGCAAAACCTGATGACAGCACATGTTTACCCAATATTTTAACCCACTTTTGAGACCTACTTCTCAAAAAAGAAAGTACTTTACAAATATCTGTTCATTGACAATGCACTTGATCACCCAAGAGCACTGATGGGAATGTACAAGGAGATGAATGTGTTTAGCACCTCATCCATTCTGCAGCCTGTGGCCCCAAAAGTAATTTTCAAGTCCTACCATTTAAAAAATACATTTTGAGCCAGGCTCGGTGGCTCAACCTGTCATCCCGTGCTTTGGGAGCCTGAGGTGAGCGGATGGCCTGAGCCTGCGGGTTTGAGACCCGCCCGGGGAACTTGGCGAGACCTCATCTCTACAATAAATCAAAAAATCAGCCGGGCGTGGTAGCGCACGCCTGTAGTTCCGGCTCTTGGAAGGCTGAGGCGGGAGGATTGCCGGAGCCCAGCAGGTCGAGGCTGTGGTCGTTGGGAACGGCCACTGTACTCCAGTCTGGGCCACAGAGTGAGACTCCAACTCAAAAAAAAAAAAAATACATTTTGGAAGGCTATTGCTGCCAGAGTTAGTGATTCCCCTGATGAATCTGAGCAAAGCAAATTGAAAATCTTCTGGAAAGTATTCACCGTTCTAAATACCATTAAGAACATTCATGATCCGAGGGAGAATGTCAAAATACCAACATGACCAAGAGTTTGGAAGAAGCTGATTATAACCCTCAAGGATGATCTTGATGAGTTCAAGACTTGGAGGAAGTAACTGCCGATGTGGTGGAAATAGCAAGAGAAACACAATTGAACGTAGAGCCTGAAGATGTGACTGCATTGCCGAAAGCTTGGATTAAACTTGAATGGGCGAGGGGTTGCTTCTTCTAGATGAACAAAGGAAATATTTCCTTAAGATATAATCTGCTCCTGCTGAAGATGCTGTGAACATTGTTGAAATGGCAACAAAGGACTTAGAATATTACACAAACTTAGTTGATAAGGCAGCAGTGAGTTTGGAGAAAGTGAACTCCAGTTGTGAAAAACATTCTACTGTGGATAAAATGCTATCAAACCACTGGCATTCCATGCTACAGAGGCAGTCTTTCGTTAAAGGAGTCGATGGATGCAGCATATTTCATTGTTGTCTTATTTACGAAACTGCCACAGCCACCCCAGCTTTCAGCAACCACCACCCTCATCAGTCAGCAGCCATCAGCATGGAGATGAGACCCAGGGCCATCAAAAAGATTTTAACTCTCTGAAGACTCAGATAATTTATAGCATTTTTTTAGCAATAAAATATTTCTACTGAAGATAGGTTCATTGTTTATTTAGACATAAAGCTCTTGCACACTTCACATACTCTAGCATAGTGTAAGCATGATTATTGCATGTACTGAGAAACCAAAGAATCCTCAGTTTATAGCAATATTCATTCACTTTGCTACAGTGATCTGGAAACAAACCCTGCTATTTCTTTGGGGTATGCCTGTATAACCAAGTGGCTGAATGTAAGAGAAATATTGATAACTTTCTCCCATCTCAGCAGGGAGGCATTAGAAAATTTAATGAAGCAATGTTAAAGATTACAACAAAAATAAATAATCCAGGAATAATCTTAGTGACAAATACTTGAGATTTATATGAAGAAAACAAACGTTTTCAGAAAGATCTACGTATTTGTTAAAAGAACAAAAATAAGACCCAGATTACATGCAGCTGTAAATCAAGTATTTGAGAAGGATTGTAGAAGAATGTCAGGTGTTCATCTGAGCTGATGTCAACCAAGTTAAATGCATAACCAATTGGCACAGGTCTAAAATAGGTCAGCAGAAATGTTCTTTAATGTACATAGTTGTTCTTTTCATATTCTTCTAGTAAACTAGAAGTTTATATGTCCTGATACTTTCCTACTTAAGGTTTTTTTTTTAAATCTGGAGTTACAGAAAAAAAGAAATCATCATATAGCTCAGAAATTTATATTATAAATTGTTCGTGTCATCTTTTTAACATTACTGCCACTTGTAATGATCTTTTTCCAGTTCCTTTGGAAGGACTAAGAAGTCAAAACCAGTTTGAAGAGATGAGGTCAAGCTACATTCGAGAGCTCATCAAAGCAATTGGTTTGAGGCAGAAAGGAGTTGTGTCTAGCTCACAGCGCTTCTATCAACTTACAAAATTTCTTGATAACCTGCATGATGTGAGTACTTCGTTTTCCGGGATATCAGCAATTATTCTCTGAATTTCTGTAACTATAAAAATGTTGCATATAAATTTTACTTTATATTGTTTTTACAAATTCATATTTGCACATGAGTTTTCAAAGAGTGTTTGTTCCACTCTGCTCAGAATTTATATTGTACTTTTTTCATCTTCAATGTAGACTACCCAAATGTCCTTTTACTACAAGTATTTGTAAAATCTGAGGGTAATTTAACAGTTGATAGGAATTGTGATACATTTTCCTGAATATGTCCTAAAATATTTTTGCCTAAAATTATAAAAAGCACCTATCCAGGAAAAACAAAAGTATGTACATGAAAAATAAGATTCCCAAACCATATTAGATGGAATTATAGCTAATACGCTTTTGAATGGGTGAGGTTAATATTTGCATGCTTTTCAAGTTTCTGTTCCTTAAGATTTATCTTAAAGAAATAGTTAGGCAAGAATGTAATATATGTTTAGGTAAGGATGTTCAGCACACAGAGAGAAGAAAAATATATTAGAAATGGCCAACACCAGAACTGGATTAATAAAACAAGATGTCTGTGGTTTGTCAAGACATACTGACTGCCAGCTTTTATCGTTACCATGTTCAGAAACCACATTAAAATGACAGTCAAGGCATAAAACAGCTATCCACTTACCAGGTCACCTTCTGAGGTCTCACTCCTGAATATGGCAGCCAAAATTATGAGCTATTTGAGCAAAACCTCTAAAATGAAAGACAGAAAGCAAACAAACAGAAAGCAACTGGAAGGAAAAGGCGCTAGTGCAGAGAACAGAAGAAAACTCCCAAGATCCTCAGAGAAATGAGAATGACACTGTGTCTATGAAATGAGAGTCAAAACATTAACAAACAAATGTTGTGCGAAATAGAAGCAAGCCATATAAGAAAGGAAATGTAATTCGACAGAAAGCCATAAAAATCAGAATATAAATGCTGGATATCGATTTAGTCAAACACTGAAATGTAACTATGCAGATAAGGAGAAGAGAAAGCCTGTGTACGGGAGGGTCAGGATGCGTATATAGCAGAGCTAAATCTTCATCTTATGTGGTGGAAACACAATCAATAACATCAAAATTGTGAAACAAACTTTAGTAGAACTACAGAGGTGAATATAAAAAGACACAGGCTTAAACACGTTGAAAAGAGTTGTGTCGGGATCTGGAATAAGGACGGGAAGAATTATATCAGGAAACTGCTGGGTTTTGTGGTTGCCGCTGCTGCTTATGTTTCTATAAATCTTGAAGTATTATTTGATTTTTAAAATTATATGCACAAATTGCATTTCTACTAATAAAAATTAGATTAAACCCAATTATGCTGGGTTATTAGCCTAGGAAGAATCAAAATGTTGTTATGTGAAATAGCCAGATTAGCAAATAGATAATGGCTTTTTGGAAATCTACATGTGCCTGTAACACTGTGTGTATATGTACACTTGGGTGCATTTGCACACCTGTATATAATGAGACAGAAACTTAAATAGTGTCCCGAATGTTCACACAGGTTATCCTGTGGAATTATGAACAGCTTTCATTTCTTTGGGTCTTTCCAGGCTGTCAGAGCGTTTCATCATGAGCTTGCAATATTTTACATATGATTCCAGAGAGGAGTAGAAGTCATTTTCATTTTAGTAAGAAGAAAACACCTGGACAAGTATTTGCAGTATGAGGAAAATGAGTTACCATGTCTGAGTAGCATATGGATTTATGATTTCTGTGACATGTTTTCTACCCATTTGTTGAACCCACAGCTCGTCAAACAGCTTCATCTGTACTGCTTGAACACATTTATCCAGTCCCGGGCACTGAGTGTTGAGTTTCCAGAAATGATGTCTGAAGTTATTGCTGCACAATTACCCAAGATCTTGGCAGGGATGGTGAAACCTCTTCTCTTTCATAAGAAGTGAATGCCATTTTTTCTTTTAAAAAAATGAGATTTTGTGGGATGTTGTTTTATTTTGGTCAGGATTACGAGGTCTCGAGTTTTTATAATGTTCTTCTGAAAGCCTTACATTTATAACATATCATAATGTGTAAATTTAAGAGAAAAATTGTGAGATTCTATTATTTTCCTTTATAAAGTATAAGTAGGATTTTTAAGTGTTTTGTGTACCCAGATTTTCTGTAAGAGTTTACAGGATTGAAAAAGCACTAAAATTGATTGTTAAAGTAAACTTTATCTTATCCATATTATTTCATACCATTAAGATGAGGATTTTTAACTTTTGCATCTAACAAATCTTCTACTTAGGAGAAAAAGAACCTTACATGTAATAACAAAAAGCTATTATATATGTTAATTCTAGGTAGCTCCCTTTGTCTCCTTGATTATAGTTCCAAAAATGAACTTTTACAGTTCATTTTTACAGTGCTATACAAAATATTGCAGTGGTATACATATATTCTGTGAGGAAGAGATTCATAACCTTCATCAGATTTTCAGAAGTGTTTTTAATGCAAAAAAATAGAGAGAGAAAAAGTTAAGAGCCACTAAAATAGATTGATGTTTCTCAAACTAGGCAAAACAGCTCATATATTAAGACCATTTCCCAGATTAGAAGCACAATCTCTTAGGAATTTAGAAAGTAGACCTACATCATCATGACAACAGTGTTGAGGGTTTGATGGGTTATTTTGCAAACCTCATTTGGGAAGCAGTTTTTCTCTAATAAGGTATTGTGAATAGAAACTGGAAGTCAGAAGATTCTGTGGCCTAACTCCACCCCTTACCACCTGTGGCATGTGGAAAGTCAAACAACTTTACCGATTTTCAATTTCTTCATCTTTAAAAGTAGTATGATCATATTTTTCTGCCAGTTGCTTCTTTTGATCTGTTAACACCTTCTCAAATCAAAGAAAGAAGGAAGGTAGAGAAGGGAGACAGGGAGCAGCAATTCACATAACTTCTTTTTATTCTCCACTGTCATGCATGCCTCTTATGTTCCAGCCATGCAAATCTTCTTACCATCAATTTTCTTCCAGAATTTCCTTCTTTAACACCAATCCCAGGCATATGAGGGGGGACCCCAAAAAACTCAGAATTTATTTTTAAAAAGGTGTCTTTCGTGTTACACATTTAAATGTCAGTCACCTTCAAAGTACTCTTTGGTGAAATGCACCTATCAAGACGCTTTCTGCACTGCTCAAAACTGTTTTTGAACTTGTCAACTGGATGCCTTTGAGTGCTCTGCCGTTTTTTGCTTCAACACTTCCATGTCAGCAAAACATTTTCCTTTGAGGACATTTTTCTTTTTTTTTTTTTCCTTTTTTTTTTTTTGAGTTGGAGTTTCACTCCATCGCCTAGACTGGAGTGCAGTGGCCGTTCCCGGCCACCGCAGCCTCGACCCACTGGCTCCAGCGATCCTTCTGCCTCAGCCTTCCGAGTAGCAGGAATTAAGGCGTGCGCTACCACGCCTGGCTGATTTTTGATTTATTGTAGAGATGAGGTCTTGCCAAGTTGCCCAGGCGCGCCTCAAACCTGTGGGCTCAGGCAGTCCACTCACCTCAGCCTCCCAAAGGCGCGGGATTACAGGCTGAGCCATTTTTCAAAGAAGGAAGGAAGGTAGAGAAGGGGAACAGAAATGTTGCTGGGGTGAGATTGGGTGGGACCTGGCGGTCATGCTCTTTTGGGTCAAAAACTGCTGAACACTCAGTGTGGGGTGGGCAGATGCACTCGTAAATCACCCATCATGAAATGGGCAAACATGTTGAAATAATCTTCAAAAAAAAAAAAGCTCACCAAAGCTGTGTGCAACCTTTCACAGCAACACGAGCTGGTATATTGATGCTGATGGGTTCCAAGCATCCTCTCCTCTTCAGGAAACCTGGACTACCCTCCAAAAGAGAATTCTGTTTTTTCGGAGTCCCCCATGTATCTCAACCTTCAAGACTCATCCGAGTGTCATTTCTGTAGAGTTTTCTCTTAGACTTCCAAACAATGAATTGCCTTCTCCTAGGATTCCCTGCCATTGTGTGCAGATCTGAATTATAATAACACGATGTCTTACAATTCTGACCCTCCTTCAAGTCTCCCAGCCACTTTAGGACACTAGAGTTTGTTGACTGACCGTTGGATGACATACTCTCTCTCAGCCTTTGGTTACACCTCTGCACAGTGCTGAACCCATAACTTGATTACATTCTCCTCCCGTGCCTCCTTGTCTCTATCTCTTCATTTCCCTTCACCACTTAAGTTTTCTCTCTTTTCTTCCTACTTTGTGACATCTCTCCCTTACTGACTATAAGTATATTTTATGTGTATTAAGAACAATACTTTGTGTTCCTTGTTTTAAATTATAAGACTGAATGAACGGAATATCATTTCCCTCCCTAAGAAAAATTCTACAAATACAATTATTTCTTAGGTTTAGGTAGCCTTAGATTATTTTCTATTGTGAACCTCATTCTAAAATGTTTCCTCATTTCGAATTTTAGTCCACATTTATTGAGTACCTGCGATGAACACAAGAAAATGTGCTAGCAAGCCTTATAAGAAGTTAGAGCTGAAGACTGTAACTCAAGAAAGTTACAGTCCAGGCATAGGTATAAGTAGTAGGCACTCTAATGTCTGTTGAGTGTATGAATTTTCTCATACGCTCAGCAAGGGTTAGATTTGATAGATGCAAAGCATTCTTTACATATAATTTCACGGAGACAAATGCAGCACAAAGACACTAACTTTAAAATCAACTTCAAAGGACACCTTCATTTAGTTGTGTCAGGAACTCATCTGCATTAAATCTGTGTGTGCATTTGCTTCTTGAAAAAAACAATATCTTTTTCCCCACAAGTGTCATCCCAAGAAAAGTATTTTTAATATGTCCCATGTATAATAGTTACAGGAAATCTACCTCTGTGGGAGAGAGACCTCTCAGAATGGACTGTGCGACATAAGTGAATGAATGTAAATCTGTCGAGAAAAAAAAACCAAAAGACAAAAACAATGTCATTAGCCCTTTATACTCGCATGATGGACTCAGGGAATAGTTGATGGTGTGTCATTTTGCTCTCTGATTTCTTGTTGCTTTGAATTCAGACAACATGTTACGATACAAATTCTTTTCCACCAGCACAGATGTAATTTCCATAATAATTTTTAAATGTCCTGATTTCGCTCAACTATGTGGGAATAGACTGTGGTGGCCACAGGCCTGGCTTTTGTTAAGAATGTTTGATAACCTTGATGTTGAACTTGATCCACAATGTAGATGTCTAAACACTAGGATTTAATATGTAAGGCTAAGCTTTAAAAAATTTTTTAAATCTTTTAAAAAAGAACATGACATCACTAGATGGAAAATATCTAGTCTCTAAATCTTTTTTCCTACAAACTCCTAGCTACTAATGTCTCCATTACTATGTGGTCATCAAAGCCTTTATTTTCATTTTACAGATCATGTTCTTTCTGGTAGTTCTAAAGTGAAATTAAATCATGAGAAGACAGGTTATATATCAGGAAATACTTGAAGGTTGCCGAAATAGATTCTTGAGTTAATGAAAATATTTTCCTTAAAAAGGTTTGAAAAGCCATTTGAGTCTGAAGAAATTATACCTCCAGTGTCAATGACAATTTTTTTTTTTACGTGTTTAATGTTTAAAGACATGGCACTTTTTAATAAGGCAATGCTGTGCTGTTTTATGCAATTTTAATGCTATGCATTAAAATAATTTATTGCTATTCAGATGATACACAGATATGACAGGCAATATGTTTTCTGCCAAAACCATGCCTTCAGATAGCTGTGGCATGTCAACCTGTAGCTTGTAAGTTACCCATGGATACAGTGAGGTGTTTCGTGATCACTGTGGAGAGCTGACCATGGGTCTCTGCCCCTTCTCTGCCACTCCCTAGCTGGATAAACGTAGCAAGTCATTTAACCCTCTGATTAAAACTGCCTTTGCCTCATTATTCTGTGATTAATAGAAACAGAAACTAAAAAAGATATACATAGTTGTTCAGAAATAGTAATTCTATTCTTTGTTTCCATGAAGCCATAGTTCTGGGTATAATTTTATCAAACTAATCAGCTATATTCGGTAGTGAAACTAGGAACCTAGAAAATCCTAAATGCTTTATTTCTGTCTCTAGGTAGTATGATATATTTGATCGCCTTCATGTGAAATTAGGACTAGCAGCATTCAAGTCATTTCTTTCTCTGAAAAGAGACTCTTTTGGGTCTGGGACTGTTACCCTTTCGTTATAAATATTTAAGAGTAATGATACTGATTGTGGCATTTTTAAGGCATCTCTTTAAACTATAGAGAGCTTAACTAGGACATAACTCCTCCCAAAATCTATGCTGCATACCAGATGCTCAAATTATTTTTACTATGGCAGTAATTCCACAAAAGGAAACGATGGGTCTAGAAGTTATGATCAAGTCATCGACACCAAAAAATGACATGTCTATCCTTATGACGGCTACGATGTTAAATGCCCACACCATATCCTTCAGCTTGCTTGAATCTGGCATCTTGCAGTCCTTTGGTAGGACGGCTGTTCCATATGTGACTTTCGCTGTGAGTGCTTGAGCAGTTTCTCTCATCTGTGCTTCTTCTTCTCTCATCTGATTTCAGGGCAGAATAGGACTCCTTGTGTATCTTTGCAGCTCCAGAGCTCTGGGTATAAGAAGCGCTCAAAACTGGGGAAATTTTTTTTTTCGAATGTAAAGATAGCCCATGTCTATATTCAATAGTTCAACAACCGTGGTCCCCTTTGATGAAGTGAATGGTCGAGAGGACAACTCAAGGGATGGCTTCACTTTCTCTTCCCCAAAGTCGCCTTTTGAATAGTCATTGGATGTGGGACATGCCTACATCTCTTAAATTTTACAGGAAATATGTAGCCAGAGAGTCTAGCAGAAGGATGGCAGGTCCTAAGTTGCTTTATTAGACAACATCATGAAATTGTTTTAGTGAGAAGAGTGTCACCCCAGTTCTGTGATTTCACTGTATTTTCCTTATCCAAGTTTGGGTGAAAAGAACAATCTCTGTTTCTACCTAGCAGCTTCCACCCATTGAATGCTATTATAGCATACTCCTTGGTCCATATCAAATTCAAAATTGAACCAGAAACAACTGACAACTCAACCATATGATGAAATGCAATCCAAATCGGATCGGTCTACACCACATCAAACGAATCCAAGCTGAACAGGGCCTCTACTGGCTTGAGTTCAGATCGGATCCTACCCCTAAACTCAGGAAAAAGGCCTCCAGGGTTGGGCCTGAATCCACGTGGCCTTACACATTGAAAATAAGAAGCAAAGAGTAGTTTTCTTTAATAATTCATCCTCCCTGTCACTGGAGAAGGTTTCAGAACAGGGAGGGTGTGGGTGATGAGTTAAACCTTCTCT